GCCCCCCGCCCCCTGCCCCACCTCTCCGCTCTCCCGAACACCACAGGAGGAATGGGGATGGGATCTCCAAAGTGGAATTGGATGACCTTAAGGCCTGGAATTTAAAGGGTAAAATGGACCTTAGAGGGCTAATTCTTAGAGGGCTAATTCTACCTCCATTCTGAGAAGGGATCCCGGTGCCGTTGTCCTGATGACTAACAAGCTAACGGATAAAAGCACTTGACCCGGGCTGGGATGTGGGCCAGTGCTCAATCTGTCATTTCTGTTAGTCATCGACTCGGGCATGGACACTTCCAGTGTCCAGCAGCTCACTCCTCTGTCGGTATGGAAACTTCTCACCTACCTTCATCTAGACAATTTAGATTACTCTTATCTAGCTGCATTCAAAGCTGCAAAGACTTTCTGAACAATCATGCATTACACTCTTCATCTCCCCAGGTGACCAGAATGAGCGAGTGTAGTTTTCATTGTTAGTAAGTGAGGTTGCTCAGGTTCTTCCACGTGGCAGGCATTATACCCTTTGCATTTAGGTCTCTGACTCTACCTCCCTCCCTGTCACTCATCCGACTCTCACTATAGCACTGTGAGAGTGAAGCTACGAATGTGCTCACTTCATAGATGGAGAAACAGAGAAGCAAGAGTTTAAGGAAGTTGCCCAAGTCAGGAGGGGCAAAGCCAGGACGTGACCCAGGGCTGCCCAAGGCCCAGGCCAGCTCTCGTGACTGTGAAAAGACCTGCTGCAGGCTGAAAGGCTGAGAACCCGAGAGAAGAGAGATGCCAGGAAGAGAGCTCCTCAAATCCCACCTAACTGCAAACAAGCAAACATGCAATAAACAATTTTCTGAAAATGATGTCTCACCTTCTTCTGCAGAACCTTGCATGTTGCGAAAGCCCCAAATGGAATCTAAGGTAAAATAAAGAAGAGTCAGTGCCTCCTCTCTTGCCAGTTTTAAATTCGTTTTCTGAGTGGCACCCGTGAGGGAGAGAGGGAGCAGGAGGTGAACAATGCAAAATGCTGATGTGACCGGCTAAGCCCAAGGAAGGATGGGTGAGGAATGCTGCTTGGGGTATATGATCAGCCCTCTCAACCAGCTGGCAGGAGGTGGCCCTGCCCTGCTCTAGCCCACCTGCCCCATCCCCATCATCAACTCTATCAGGGTCAAGAGAAAGATCTCCGGTACTTTGCAGAGGCTGGAGAAACCCAGATTCTCCTAGGAATCTGTGGGTCCGTTTTCTAAGTAGACTCCTTGACTCTTGAAGACTATGCTGAGGCCAAAGATCATCTCGAGTCTTTTGGACAGCAACAAAACCTAGAGAAACATCTCTTGACTAGTGCTTCTGGACCTTTGAAAGCCCTAGTCCACACCTGTCTCTCCAAGGGACCCATGATTCAAGGGAAAAAAGACAGATCAAATTCACAACCAGAACACCACCCCAGTTTACCTCTGAGAGCTCACATTTAGAGATGTCAAGAATGTCATCTGCCCCAGCTTCTTTTGCCTAAGGATAAAAATAATTTTTATGTTTCAAGCAAAACATCCTTGCAGAGTGGACAAACCAGGCAAAGAAAAAGCACTAAGGATCTGCAGGGGACCATGGGCAGCATCTGGTCAACTAGTCCATTTTGTAGGCGGACCAATGGTCCCTCCTTTAAAGGGATTTGAGGGCCAGCAGGAAAGAGCAAATGAACAAGTAATGACAGGCGTGATCAGTCTATGGCAGGAGGTACAGGACACTCGGGAGCACTGACAGGCAGCCTCATCCTTCTGCTCTAAGTCAGAGATTTCCTTTGGGCCTGGGGGTGGCTGATGGAGAGAGCTCGGCTGGTTTGGGGGGCAGTGGAGGTGGGGATGATCTCAGAGGAAGCCCCTTTTTCCTACCAGACACATCTGGTGCTCCAGGCGCTTTCGAGCCTCCTCACTGGGCTTCCGCTTCCGGAAGAAGAGCGGCATCCTTCCTTTCCCCCAGAGCAATCTTCACGGCACTAGGGCACAGGGGAGAAGCTAGGACCTGGGGAATTTCTCACAGCCCCTCAACACCCAGGACAGGAAGCACAGTAACACAGAGCATGTAGCTGATCTGCTGGACTGTAAGTTCCCTGAGGGCAGCCGCTGTGTCCATCTCAACCATCACTCTGCCCTGAGCTAGGCATGGCAGGTGCTCAGTACCCTTTCTTTGCTGCCTAAACAATAAGCAGTGGTATGTGGTGGAAAGAGCACAATGGTAAGCCAGGTGACCAGCGTTTGGGCCCACATTTGCCACTGTGAGAACTTGGCATACTTTTGCCTTGTTCTAGGTTCCCATCTCTCCTCCGTCAAAGAAGGTTCCTCAAGTCCTTTACAAGGATGCTCTTCGACGATTCTAATAGACTGGCCTGATGAATCACTTCTAGCCTCTGTAACACTGTCAGGAGTGGCATCAGCACATCAAACATGGCATGGCATCAGCTAGCAATGACCCTGGGAGCTCAACTACACCATAACCAAAGAGATTTTTAAAATACAAATTCAAAAGCAGTTCTCAGGCACCTTACCACTCCCACAGTTATTATTCCAGTTCATTCTCACCACAGCCCTGTTTATAGTGATGAAACTGATGATTATCGAGTTCAGTGATCTGGTTTACAGCCTAGGTATTAGCAAAACCAGTCTGGAATTCTGCTCTTCCGAGTCCTGATCCTGTGGATTTGCCCAACTCTTTGGTGCTGGAATAATTTAGCACATACTAAGTGCACTGTCCTGAACTCAGAAGCCAGGTGTTCACTGCCTGCCCAGGATCTGCAAATATCAGCGCTTGATAATGGACGTGGATGGACCAGGAAGCAATCATCCAGGGAAGCTTACGGTTAACAGCATGGGCTTTGGGATGAAATATAACTGGGTTGGAATCCCAGATCTAACACTCACCAACCATGTCACCTTGGTTCACCTCTCTGAACCTCAATTTCCTCATCTGTAAAGTGTAATAGTATTACCAACACCTGGTTCTATGAAGATCCAGTGATTTCATGTATGTAAAGCCCATAGCACAATACCTGGCACATAATGAGTGCTCAATAAGTGTTGTCCACATAGCACCACACATCTAATAAACATTTATTCAGGGCCTCCTACAGTTTAAGCAGCTAGATACAGACCCGGTCCGGGTGGGGGTGGGGGTGGGTGGTTAGAGATCACAGGTCTCCGCCCACCGGGGCGTGGGCTGTCTGGGGATCAAGCCAAGACTGCAGAGCTGGCTCAGGCCCCTCTAGTCACCCCACCTACCTGCAGGGATGGGGAACAGTCGAAAACATCCCTCCCCCACCCTTCCCTGATGGCCAGCTCTTATCCTTCGGCTCCCCAATGACTAACCTCTTTCACCACCTCCCCGAAGACCAGCCTTTTCCACCTCCCAGAACGACCGTCCCTCCCAGGCCTCCCCGATCGGCTCTTCCCAACCAGCTCCCTGACGTCCATCCCTCGTGCATCCCCTCCCCCGACGCCCAGTCCAGAAGGGAGGAACCACACCCATCCTCCCCTGGCTGGATGGGGAGTGCCGACCTGGCTTTGCGGGAGGACAGGTCCCCCACGTCCGTTCCCGCTGGAGAGCCCGAAGGCCGGCCGATCACTCCTCGGGCTCGCTCATGGAGGCCGGGGCGCAGACCACCTGGCACGGGCCCGGGTGGATCCGGAGACGTGTCTCCTCCAAACGCAGGAGCTGGGGACCGAAACTCAGAATCTCAGAAAGTCCTGCAGACCAGGATGACGAAGTCTGGGCCTGAGAACCGCAGATTCTTAGAATCGAGTTAGAACGGGTCTTTCAGAACGAAATTGTTTTGAAACGCACACGTCACGCGGGAGTTAAAAGGTGGCCGGGGGTCGCCGTGAACCTCTCAGGCGAGGGGCGAGCTCTGGGATTGGGGGACAGTGGCCATAGGGTGACCCTCCCCATAAGGGAGAAAGGGAAACAGGGGGCCGGGATCTTGGGAGCAGCCCTCTCTGGTCTGCCTCCCCTGGCGAACTGCCCCGAACCCCTTCAGAGCCCCCGGTCGCAGCTCACCGCGGGGCCAGGCTCTCCGCTCCTCAGCCCCTGGCGCCAGCCCACAAGCAACATGACGGCAAGGGCGTCGCTGGGCGGCTGGGCGGGGAGGGCTGTTCTCGCGACAGCCGCGCTTTCCGGCCTATATCCGGCGTAGCTGAAGCGCCTTCCGGCCTTTCGGCTTTCGGCTCGGAGGAGGCTCAGGTGCAACTCTCTTCGGTCGTCCCGAATCCGGGTTCATCCGACACCGGCCACCTCCACCATGCCGCCGAAGTTCGACCCCAACGAGATCAAAGTCGGTGCGTGCTTTAGATGCGGGCCGGGCTGCGGGATGGAGCTCCCGTTCTCCCCGCAGCCCGTCGGGCCCGCGGCCCCTCCGCAATTCTTGCCTTTCCCACGGCGCGCTTTAAGGCCGCTGCCTACTAGAGGCCTTTCCGGTGCCGCGTTTAGGGCGCTGTGAAGTCCCGGCCGAGTCTCTTACTCTCTGAGCCTCGGCTTCCCCACGTGTAGAGGGGCGGGAGGACCGGAAGACCTGTGGCGGCTTTGCGGTCCGCACGCCTCAGGGTAAGGCTTGTCCCCCGGCGCTTTCTCCCTGAGACTGGGGTGGCTGGCGGTCCGGCTGCCTCCACGCCGGCCCGGGGTGGGCCTCGGTAGCCGTGGCCGAACCCAAGGTCCCCGGTCCTCGGGTCGCATGGAGCGGTCCACGCCCAAGGAGGGGTGGCTTGCCTCGCTTCTCCCTGAGGCTTTCGGTGCTGTTTGGGGCAGAGGCGGAAGGTGGTATGGCCAGCCCCGGAGCGATGCGGGGAGAGGCTGTGGTTGGCTCTGCAGAGGCACTTAACGTTTCTTCTCCTCCCAGTATACCTAAGGTGCACCGGCGGGGAAGTGGGCGCCACGTCTGCCCTGGCCCCCAAGATCGGCCCCCTGGGCCTGGTAAGTCAGTCTCGTGTGGGGTGTTTCTTCCATGAGAGCAGTTATGCTTGTCAAACACAATTGTACCTGAGGTGCCATTGGCGTTGGCGGATTTCCATCTGCGACTAGACCTCTGATCCACTGAATTGCCACTAGGTGCGGTAGAAAGGTTATATATGAAAATCAAATTTAGTGCCCTTCTCTGTCTTTTAACAGCGTGCTGTTAGTGTACCTGAGGGGTAGGCTGGAAGGGGGACCGCTGAGGGGTTTTTTGTTGTTTTAAAAATCTTTATTGATTTCAGAGAGGAAGGGAGGGAGAGATAGAAACATCGATAAAGAGAGGGTCATTGATTGAGAGGGTCATTGATCGGCTGCCTCTTGCACGCCCCTGACGGGGGATCTAGCCTGCAACCCTGGGCATGTGCCCTGACTGGGAATCTAACCATGATCTGGATTNCTCTTGCACGCCCCTGACTGGGGATCTAGCCTGCAACCCGGGCATGTGCCCTGACTGGGAATCTAACCATGATCTGGATCCTAGGTTGATACTCAGCCGCTGAGGGTTTTGAAGTCAAGTGCCTTAGTGATACAAGTCTATGTTTTCTAGTGAGGGAAATGGGTATATTGCTGTTGGAGGCTTAAAGGGGATGAAGGGATGTGAAGATTCTAGTGAACATAATAGCTTGTATTTCCTACACTGCTCTAGACCATCTGGTTAACATGACCAGCTTTACCTATGGCCAGCCTTATTTGCCTGCTTCTCCATTTTACTGAACTTGTGTTTCCCTAACTATCATTATGCCTTTATTCCTTGTGCAGTGGTCTCCTGTCCCAAGTGTTCTTCCACCTTGGTTGTGGGAGAACAAGAGTCTTAATGCTCTTCTTGGCCCTTAGCTTTGCTGGCACTCACTGGACATAGTTTCCTAGTGGGCACTAGGAAACTCTAGCAAATGCCCACACCTCACCCCTGTAGGTTGACTTGGGTTAACCAGCGTTGAAAGTTTCTTCCTATGTTACCATGTAGGTCTTTATGAGAGGACAGGTAGATAAGTTATTTTGCCCAGTTGTGGCCCTTGGCCTGCAGCTTAAAGCCCTGAACAACCTCGCCCCAGCCTCATTTTTCCAGCTTATGCTACGATGAGAGCCTTGCCTTGATAGGGTAGGTGCAGTTGTGTGCTTCGGACAGTTTCCTGTGTGCTCTACAGGGAAGATTTGGGGTATGGCCAAGTGAGGAAGACTGGGCAGGCTTTCAGGCTTTCAGGCTGCTTAAACTTTGGGCACAACATGAGTACATGTCTTTATTTCTACAGTCTCCAAAAAAGGTTGGTGATGACATCGCCAAAGCAACCGGTGATTGGAAGGGTCTGAGGATTACAGTGAAACTGACCATTCAGAACAGACAGGCCCAGGTACTTGGTTTGAGGGAGGGCAGGGGTAGCAACCCTCTGGGATTCCTGGGTGCAAGGTTTTTGCTGACATGACCACCTACCACTAATGGTGAGAGCGACTTTATCTGGGGAAAGCTTTTTCACGAGCATGGATCAAGGTCAAAGATGTGCTCAAATATTGACTCTTGTCACTCATGTGACATTGGGCAAATCACTTGTCTCCTAGGCTAGGACATGAGTGTATTGTGAAAATTATTTGAGAATGTACAGCAAGTCCAGTGTGTCTGGCCTCCAAGGACCAAGGTGCATGGTAGTATTGTCTTCATTGGAGGATGGGGTAGGGCTTATTCACATTGAGAATCTCTTCCTGCAGATTGAGGTAGTGCCTTCTGCCTCTGCCCTGATCATCAAAGCCCTCAAAGAACCGCCAAGAGACAGAAAGAAGCAAAAGAACAGTGAGTGGCCTTTTCCCTGGTAGTCTGAGTGGTGGTGTCTATGTATTTGATNATTGAGAATCTCTTCCTGCAGATTGAGGTAGTGCCTTCTGCCTCTGCCCTGATCATCAAAGCCCTCAAAGAACCGCCAAGAGACAGAAAGAAGCAAAAGAACAGTGAGTGGCCTTTTCCCTGGTAGTCTGAGTGGTGGTGTCTGTGTATTGTTTGACACATAGCTGCATGTTTTCTCTTAACACATTGTATGCGGGAAACGTATTTACACATTTTACGTTAACTGGTAGTAGAGCGCGCGATAAAAACTACCGGCAAACAATGTGTTAAACGATGTGTTAAACAATGTGTTAAACAATGTGTTAAACAATGTGGCATGGGGATTTGATGGCAGCTGCTCCAGAGCCAGGTAGTACCACGAAGTGCTATGCAGGGTGAAGCAACAGAATGACTAGTAATTAGGAGAGCACTTCTGAGCTGGGTGACTGAATAGCTTAACTGATCCCAGTATCTTAAGCTTGTCTTCTCTCATCTCTAAAACAATCTCTTACATGTAAGATTAATAAAGACCGTTAGGCCATTAGCCACCCGCCACTGCACCTGACCAGTTCCGTGTTGGCTGGTGCAATCCAGTGGTGAGCTGAAATTAAACCCCAGCTTAGGAAACAGGGTTATTCATATGGATGACTCTGTGCCGAAAGCATGGGAACAACTTGGAAATGGCTGGGANCCAGTGGTGAGCTGAAATTAAACCCCAGCTTAGGAAACAGGGTTATTCATGTGGATGACTCTGTGCCGAAAGCATGGGAACAACTTGGAAATGGCTGGGAGGGGAGGACATTATATGGTCTGCTCTGGCTTTGGGTTGTGACAGCTTTTGCTGTGTTTTTTTCCTGCAGTTAAGCACAGTGGAAATATCACATTTGATGAGATTGTCAACATTGCCCGACAGATGCGGCACCGATCTTTAGCAAGAGAACTCTCTGGTAAGAGGACAACGTGGAACCACCTTGTGATGTGGGGCATATTCACTGAGTGGTCGCATTTTCCCATTTAAAGGAGACTTGGTTCTGTAAGACCCAAAATTTGGGGTGTAGTGTCTCCTGGATTTGGAAACATGGTTTGGTCATGGTGAAGATTTTGGTCAGATGTGTTTAATCTGGGTATCAAGGGTCCCATGGAGATTTTGCATTCAGGGCTTACATAACTAAGGAGCTAAATTCTGAATTGGGGGTCAGAGGTGTTATTCCTGGTAGTTTATAAAAGAGTTACTCCTCTTTGCCTGCTGTGGAACTCAAGTGTTTTCCCATGGTGTCTGAAGATTGTGAGGGGCTGACAGCCCTATCTGATACCACCTTTTCTTAATTACAGGAACCATTAAAGAGATCCTAGGGACTGCCCAGTCTGTGGGCTGCAATGTTGATGGCCGCCACCCTCATGACATCATAGATGACATCAACAGTGGTGCAGTGGAATGCCCAGCTGTAAGTGACTTCTGCATCTCTTTTGTTTGCTTAAAATCAGGGTGAAAGCTGGAGGAGCTAGTGTATTCATGGAGATAGGCTGGAGAGTTCTAGAAATGGTCAGTAGTGGGGTTGAGAAGATTTTTGTCCTATCACTGATAGGATATTTTTTTTTCTTTCCCACAGAGTTAAGAACTACAAAGGAGAATGTTTCTATTAAAGATCATTTGACAACCAGTGGACTTTTTGATGTGGCTTCTTCCCTGGGGGAGCTAGCTCCTTTGTGGGCAGGTGGTGGTTAGTGGGGCCAAGGTGGCAAACTGTGGAAGGTAGTCTAGGCAATGAGATTTCTCCCCTTTATGGGACTAGCTCAGGAAAGACACTAGAAAGGATGTCTCTGCTTTTTGTAGAGACCTTCATGGAGCTCTTCATAAGAAATAGCTCTTAGCCAGAGGAAAAACTTGCTAGTTCAGCATAACTACATGGGGGATGAAGTTCCTCATCCCAGACCAAATTATTNCTTCATAAGAAATAGCTCTTAGCCAGAGGAAAAACTTGCTAGTTCAGCATTACATGGGGGATGAAGTTCCTCATCCCAGACCAAATTATGNTTCAGCATAACTACATGGGGGATGAAGTTCCTCATCCCAGACCAAATTATTTGGTGGGTTGGGGCCCAGGGCACATAATTCAAGACTTTGATATCCATTACAGTGCACAGCTGGGGTTCACTGATGGGACAACAAAGAAACCTGATCTTTATCATAAGTCCTTGATTGATCCTGAGTTTAAGTGAAAGTGAGCGTCAGGTATACTTCTGAAGTTTAGCTACAGTCTAACCCTACCATTCTCTGAACTTCTTTGCTTTAAACCAGTAACAGACTACATTCTAATGTCTGTTTGTACCTTTTCCCAAGTCTTTTCCTCATGTTTCTTTTGAATCACTTTTAGAGTTTCTCACTCCCTTTCCTTTTTAGACATGCAATGAATGGACACCTGGGCACTGGGATAAGACACACCTGAGTAGCCTGAAGCACCACTTTGAAGGGGCTTCTTGTCACTACCCCTGAAAGGAGTTGGGAATGAATAGCCCAAGAACTTCATTTCCCTACCATTAGTCATTGCTGCTTTGCTTTTCCATTAATTTTATCAACAGGCCCTTTAGTAGGTGGTTTTTAACCACCCCAGGTACAATCAGAGTTGGAGAACAAACTACCCTTTCCACTAGTGGAAACGTGAGGGAATAATAAGAATTCCAGGACCAAGCCACCCAAAGAAAGCTGGAGGCCCTGGGTGAGGATAGTTGACATAAGCTTCCCTTATAGCAGGTGACCAGTAATGGGAAATCTGTCCCTGAAATCAAACACTTAGCTAACCAGAAACCAGTGAAAGTACACAGGAGTTTTGTAAGTGCTGAGATGAGATCACACTAGTTGGGTGTGCAGCTGGTATAAATGCCAAGGGCAGTGGAAAGTAGAAAAGGAAACTGAACTGTTCTCCAATGAGGGGAAAGAAGTGATGACCCACTTGGCTCTGACCCAGGGAAAGCATGGCTGTCATCAGGTTGTTCCTCCTGACACACTCAGCTTCACTGTCCTGAGACCTCTTCACAGCAGAAACGAGCACTAGAACANCTTGGCTCTGACCCAGGGAAAGCATGGCTGTCATCAGGTTGTTCCTCCTGGTACACTCAGTTTCACTGTCCTGAGACCTCTTTACAGCAGAAACGAGCACTAGAACAGNCACAGCAGAAACGAGCACTAGAACATTCATAAAGAGGACATTGGTTATAGCAGTGTTCCTTAAGTCACAGCTGTGTACTACAATTTTCAAATATTTAGCATTAAAGAGTGAATCCTTTACCTACCCCTAATGAAAGTACAGCATTAAATGGCTGGCCCTAGAATCCCTTTCTCACTTGAATTTACTCCCCTAAATTAGATATCTAATTGACTCCATTACAGAGAAATGCTCTTTTCTGGCCAATATTCTTGAAACAGCCATCATTCAAGAAGAGATAACTACTGCCAAAATACCTACCCTTTAAGTAAGAACCAAGTCTTTCACTGATCACAGCTTTAAAAACCAAGGCTTCTGGAGTGCTTACTACACAAGAAAACACTTTGGCCCACTGAATATAGGTAACTAGTAGTTTGAATTGGGTTGTNTAACTACTGCCAAAATACCTACCCTTTAAGTAAGAACCAAGTCTTTCACTGATCACAGCTTTAAAAACCAAGGCTTCTGGAGTGCTTACTACACAAGAAAACACTTTGGCCCACTGAATATAGGTAACTAGTAGTTTGAATTGGGTTAAGCTTCCAGAAGATGTTAAAGAAAAGCTCCTGAGACCGTCCACATAAAATAGTGACTTTATTATAAAGGTGCAAAAGCATGTTTCTAGAGGCTTTCAAACTACCTGTCAGTTCCCCATCCACATTCGTCTTGTTCCCAGTTACTCTCCAGCATGGAGTCTCTGGTGTCTGATGAAAGCTGAACTACACCTGAAGGCCTTCCCACACTCTTTACATTGGTAGGGTTTCACACCAGTGTGAATTCTCTGATGCTGACTAAGGGATGAACTCTGGTTAAATGCTTTGCCACACTCATTGCATTCATAGGGTTTCTCTCCAGTGTGAATTATATGGTGTCGGATAAGGGCTGAGCTCTCACTGAAGGATTTCCCACATTCATTACATTTGTATGGCTTCTCCCCAGTGTGGGTCTTTTGGTGGATTATAAGATTTGTACTTTGACTGAAGGCCTTCCCACACTCACTGCACTTGTAGGGTTTCTCCCCAGTGTGAGTCCTCTGGTGGTTGGTGAGATTTGCGCTCTGGCTGAAGGCCTTCCCACACGTGTTGCATTTGTAAGGTTTCTCTCCAGTATGGATCCTTTGATGCTGAATAAAGGCTGCACAGTAACTGAAGGCCTTCCCACACTCACTGCACTTGTAGGGCTTCTCCCCCGTGTGAGTCCTCTGGTGGTTTGTGAGGTTGGCACTGTGACGGAAGGTCTTCCCGCAGTCACTGCATTCATAGGGCTTCTCTCCAGTGTGAATTCTCTGATGCTGAATGAGGGCTGAACAGTCACTGAAGGCTTTCTCACACCCGGTGCATTTGTAGGGCTTTTCTCCAGTGTGGGTTCGCTGGTGTTTTGTGAGGTTTGCGTTCTGGCTGAAGGCTCTTCCACACTCGCTGCACTTATAAGGTTTCTCTCCGGTGTGAACCCTCTGGTGCTGAATAAGAGATGAGCTCTGGCTGAAGGCCTTCCCACATACATTGCACTCATACGGCTTCTCCCCAGTGTGGCTTTTCTGATGCTGTGAAAGGGAAGAGCAGTAACTGAAGGCTTTGCCACATTCATTGCATGTGTATGGTTTCCTCTGGAAGCTCTTTGTTTCACACTTGTGGGGTCTCACTTCCATAGGAACTCTCTGTTGTGGAGAAAGGACTGGTCTCAGGTTGAAGCTCTTCCCCCCTTCACAGTTCCTATGATCTGACTCCCCAGGGGGCATCTCTACCCTTGTGTCTTGGAATGATTCTTCAGAAATGTCTTGCTCTTGTGGTGATTCAGATATAATATCCCAGTCTGAAAAAAATTCAGAAAGGTAGTTTAAAAAATTCCTTTGGTAGAAGAAAAGATACTGAAATACAAAAGACGGGGAGTTTGGCTGAGCTCTTATGCAGACAGGTTTGGTGCTTCACTTCCTCTCGCCTAGAACATCACTGCCTTACGTTCCTGTTCTAAACCATGAATAATGACCAAGATGGCTTTTCACACAGCACCCACTAGCCTCCACCCCAGATGTGATACTCCTTTTCTGATAACTCATCCGCTTTTGCCAAGTATTGGGGGGTAGTCTCAAGCTGTCTCAGTTCTCAGTGTGGTTTTGGGCAATCTGCTTACCTGGTTTAAATCACTTTAAAAAGCTGATGTATGATGCAGCAACATGAATTATTTAACTTCTTCTGTATCAACAAGTCTTCTGTTGATTCCCTCTACTATAGTTTTCATTTCAGTTACTCTTCAGTTCTCATTGGTTCTTTTTTATATTTTCTCTGTTGAAGTTCTTGCTGAGTTCATCCGTTTTTCTCCTGGGTTCACTGAATGTCCTATAACCAGTGTTTTGAACTCTGTATTTGGTAGATTGCTTGTCTCCGTCTCATTTAGTTCTCTGCCTGGGGTTTTGTCTTATTCTTGCATTTGGAACGTATTTCTCATTTTCTCTGTGTCTGGAAGGAGTGGCCTTCCATAGGAGCTCCCTTTTCCCCCTTTGTATAGCCCTGTATGTTTGGCAGGTCAGTTGGAGCTTGGGGTGTGGAATGCAGGGAGGCTAGGGGCAAGCCACACTGGGGCTGCCTTGGCAGGCTGGGTGAAGCTAAAGCAGTCATGGGCTGTGTGGAGTCCTGTGGGCAAGCCTCGCCTGGGCCGCCTTAGCAGATTTGCTGGGGCTCTAGTTGGAACCAGTTGAGCCCACAGGGGGTTCCAGGGTGAAGCCTCATTGGGGTTGCCTTGGCAGATTGGCTGGAGCGGTAGTTGGAGTGGGGTTGGGCTGCAGGGAGTCTCGAGGACAGGTGCTTTGGGGTGCCTTGACAGGCCAGTTGGAGGGGCTTAGACTGAGGGGAGTCCAGGGGCAAGCCACAATGGGGCCTGGAGCTTTAGCTGTAGCAGGTGTGAGCCACAGGGAGTCCTGGGGGCAAGCTGTGCTGGGACCACCTTGGCAGATCAGTTGGAGCAGGATCAGGCCATGAGTCCAGAGGTCAAGCCATTCCAGATCCTGGAGCTGTTGGGACAGGTGTGAGTCATGCCAGGACCACCTTGGAAGGCCAGCTGGAAGCTGAAGCAGGCCACAGGGAATCTCAGAGGTAAGCTCTATTGCACGGGAGCCTGGAGTTATAATTGGAGCAACTGCAGGCTGTGGGGACTCTTGGGGACAAGCCATGGAGCTGGTTTGGACCTAGATCCTGGTGTGCACTCTGACAGCCTTGGCTGGCTGGCTAGAGTGCCTGGATTGTGCTCCTGCCCATGTGATTCAGGGGGAGTGGGTGGGCAACAAATGGTGCTCTCCCTTCCTGTAGTTCCCCTCCCATTTAGCAGATGCTCTAGGGTTAGTAAATGGATTTCCTTCCTGTATAGTCTAGGTGCCTTTTAAACCTTTTTTTTTTCTTTTCACTTTTCCCCAGGACGGGCAAGTCTGCAAGCAGGCCTTTCTGGTCAGTGCATTGGGAGAGGGGTTCCCACAGTACCATGTCTTGGTCTCTCCTACCCATTTCTATGGGGTCACTTTCTTGTTTCTTGTGCAGAAGCTGTTCACTCAGCTCTCAGTTCTTCAGGGGGATTCCTCTGCCTGTTGGTATAAATTCAGTGTGTTTGTGGAAGGACATGAGTTCAGGGTCTTCTTCCTACACCGCCATCTTGGACTGGAGGCCCCAGAGTTAACTATTGTTATCCCTCTTTGGGATCTCATTCATTTTAAGAGAACATTTTAAAATGTGAATTAATGTATAATATTTGGAAGTATTAAAACTTAAGTGAACCATAAGGTCCCAGACACCTCTGTCTCCTACATCGAGGCTTGTAGGTAAGGGAATGGAGCTTTAGGGAAGGATATGGAGTTTCCTTTCATAGTTTAACTGAAGAGATTCTTTACGTTTCTACCTTATTTCTTAAAGTAGGGAATAGCAGGGTTAGTTCTAGGTATCCTTAATTTGAATTTATATACAGAATTTTGACCCATACTGTCTGGGTTCAAATCATGGCTCCACCTCTTACGAGCTGTGTGACTTTAGACAATCTTTCTATGCTTTGGACTTATTTGTCAATGTAGCTCTCATGCTGCAGAATTATTGTGAGCATTAAATGAGTCAAGGCACATAACGGATCCAGAACAGTACCTGAGGAATAATACGTGTTTTACGAGTGCTTGTTACCTTGGACCTTTTCCTTAGCTTCGCATTAAGCAGGTTTCTGTCTAAGGTACACATGCATACGGATGCCCAACCTACCCTGAGAACAGAAGTCCCTGCTTCTGGGCGAGAGTGTTCTCTATGTACTTGATTACATATGACTCTGAGCATCTATCTGAGTAAAAGACGAACATGAGCAATTCAGAAGATCATGTGATGTTCATGAATTGTCATACCTCCTCCCACCTTTCCCAAGTGTTGCATCTTGTCTAATGACATCCCAAACTGAATATACCCAGAACAGAACTGCTGATTTTCCCCTTTAAGCCAGTGTCTTGGTCAGTTTTCCCATTCACCCAAATACTCAGGCCAGGGTCATCCTTAATGCCTCTTGCTCTTACTTCCAGTTCACTAGCAAGTCCTTTTGGCTTTAACACCCAGATATGTCCTGCCTCCTTACCACCCACAATCATCTCACTGGAGTATGTCTGCAACAGATTCTCAGCCCATCTCCCTGCTTCTACTCTTGAACCCTGAAAGTCTTCTCCACGTTACTGCTGAGTTATCTTTTAAAACACAAATCAAACATTGTTCCTTCCCTGCTCAAAACCCTCAATGACTTCCTTTCCTCATACTTTAATGAAATCTAAATCCCTTACTATGGGCCTCCAAAGCCCTACATGATCTGGCCCCTGCCTACCACTCTCCCTCTTCAGAGTCTTAGGGTCTTCTGATCCTAACACAAACCAAGCTCATTCCCAACTCAGAACCTCAATACATGCTGTGGCTCAGAATGTTTCTCCCCCAAATACTTACATGGCTGTTTCATTCTCTTCCTTCAGATCTCAGCTCCAATGTCACCTCCTCAAAGCGATCTTTCCTATTCATTTGATATTAACACCTTGCTGACTGGCTACTTCGAGCCAGAACTTGCCCGTGCGGCCGGCTACTTTTCCGCACTTGAATATTAAATGAAAGCATCTAAATAAACTTAAACTTACTTTATTTTGTTATATCTTGTATTACTATACACTGAAATTAAATATATTGCATATATTTTAATATTTATTGAGTGTGATATATTGTATAACATGTATCTACATGCAATGGCACTAAAGTTTTACATACATACTGTGTTTCACTGCACTTTCCCTTAGAAGAACATACTTTACACACCCTAGTGGGATTTTTTTTTTAACCGCTGGTTACTATTCTTTGTAAAACATGATCTTTTAATTTTCCTGATAATCTGAATGGCAGATCTTTATTTGGGGCTCTTCTAGGCATAATGGAAGAGGTGCTAGGTTGTGTGCTGCATTCTGATGAATTTTCTGTAATCCACTTTCTAGCGATTTCAAGTAGAAAATTTTTGTACCTTTTTTTATTGTAGCAATAAATTTTAAATGCATCAAAAAAGGCACAATTTATCAAAAATAAAACTACTTTTTTATACCACTTACTATTGTGCAAGATATTGCCATATGCTAAATATTGATCTACTCAGTTGACTCCCTTCACATACTGGTTTGAGAAGTAATGAGATGGAAAAAATCCTTATCAAAAAATAAACTGGTTACTCCATTTATACTTTGTGGGTCTTCAAATTGAACAGCTACACCTGAAGTATCTGTATAATCCTCCAAGGCTGGTAAAATGTCTTTTTCTGCCCATTCAGAATTACTTTCACTGTCAGATACTATCACTATCTTCCAACAAAGTCCTATCTTCCAGCTGACTTCCAGGAGTCTGCACAAAGTTACTCAGCTGATCAAAGTGTCTGCACATAATTCAAATGTTCTTCTCTGCCTCGACTTGTCTTTTTTAAAACTTTGCCATAATAAAAGATGGATGGAAAGAATTAGACGTATTGCGCGTCATGTCTCTGGAAGTACTGATGAGTTGAGAAAAAATCAGGCATAACAAAGGAAAGCTAGGGTTGGCCTAAGTAAGCACCAAGCAGTGAAGTGCAGACAGGAGTTGTCTCGTGACTGGTCAGCAAGGTGTTACCTACCCCCATCCCCCTCTGTGTTCCCATTCTCGCCTTTGTACCCTACCCAGTTCCTATTCCCTATCAAGTGCATTAATGTAGGTTCCACAGGGGCTTCTGCCCCCGGTGCTCCCTGCCGTCACGCTTGCCCACTTACCTGGACAGGCACTCCTCAGGCCTCCCTCCAGCAGCCACGGGCTTTCCCCTTGTTCTGACCGGGAGTCCGCGCCGGGCTGGGAGACTGGAAGTCCTGTTCAAGGGGAGAAAAACAGGCTTTAGAGATCTGTCCTAAAAGCTACCCAGAACTCGGGAGTGGAAACAGGCCAGTTAGGTCATTGATTTCATTCATTCAGCAAATACATACCGAGCACTTACTTAGTGCAGGGCACTAGGGAACACAGCAGTAAAAAAGACAAGTGGTGTCAATGTCTTGGTAAAGCATTTCCGGAAGGAACTACACAAATAGCCTCATGGAGGGAGTAAAGCCAAGTGGTTAAGCTAAGCCCATAAAGCAGGCTATTTAGGGAGATGGGAAATTAATGACTGGAGGGAACTGACCTGAAGACCCCAACCCTCCTGGGAAATGGCAGGTGCAGCCCTGGGGGGGGG